GCTTCTTTTGCAAGAAAATTGGACACATGAAGAAGGACTGCCAAAAGTACCATGCTTGGCGTGGTAAGAAAGGTATGTTCCTTGCTATGGTCTGTTCTGAGGTGAACTTAATTGAAGTATCCAGAAACACTCGGTGGTTAGACTCAGGTGCAACTACTAACATCAGTGTTTCATTACAGGGTTGCCTGAGCTACCAAAAACCAACTGAAGCTGAAAGACGCATTCATGTGGCTGATGGTTTTGCGGTGGATGTGGAGGCAATTGGGCATTTTAGACTGTTCTTTAGTACTGGTTGTTTTTTTGGATTTGAAAGACACTTTTGTTGTACCGTCATTTAGATGGAATTTGGTTTCTGGTTCTTATTTAGACATATCTTGTTATTCTTGTCTAACTGAGAATGGAAAAGTTACTTTGTCTTTAGATTCAACTTTAATTGAAACTGGTACACTTATGAAAAATCACAGTCTTTATATGCTTGATACTGTAACTTCTCATGATGAAAGTTTAAGTATGGAATCAAGGGGTACTAAACGAAAGTTTGAAAATGCAAGTTCAGGAACTCTATGGCACAAACGATTATGTCACATTTTCTAGAAATAGAATTGAACGACTTGTGTCAGATGGTATATTGAGTTCTATTGACTTCACAAATTGTGATGTCTCTGTGGATTGCATTAAAGGAAAACAGACTAAACAAAAGAAATTAGGTGCATATAGAGCTACGGAAGTCCTTGAGTTACATATAGATGTTTGTGGACCATTCCCTGCGGCTTCTTGGAATAGTCAACAATACTTTATATCATTCATTGATGATTATTCTCGATATGCATACTTATTTCTTATTCATGAAAAGTCAGAGTTTATAGACGTGTTCAAGAAGTTTAAGGCTGACGTTGAGAACCAACTTGAGCGAAGGATAAAGTCTGTCAGATCTGATCGTGGTGGTAAATATTACGGTCGGTATGACGGTTCAGGTGAACAACGTCCAGGACCATTTGCCAGATACCTAGAGGAATGTGGAATTGTTCCTCAATACACTATGCCTGGTTCTCCCAGTATGAATGGTGTATCTGAAAGACGCAATCGCACTCTTAAGGACATGGTAAGGAGTATGATTTTTCATTCCACCTTGCCTGAATCACTCTGGGGAGAGGCACTAAAGACTACAGCTTACATTCTTAACAGAGTGCCAACTAAAGCAACTGCAAAGACACCTTATGAGCTTTGGAATGGTAGAAAACCTAGTCTGAAGCATCTTCACATTTGGGGATGTCCAGCTGAGGCAAGGCCTTACAGGCCATATGAAAAGAAATTGGACTCCAGAACTGTGAGCAGTTAATTTGTTGGTTATTCGGAGCGACCAACGGGCTATAAGGTTTATGATCCCACACAAAAATTATTTTTGAGACAGGAACTGCCACGTTTTTTGAGGATATTGACTTTGGGGGGAGAAATAAAGTTAAGGACATCATCTTTGAGGAAGAATCGGCTCCAGTTTCTAATCCGATTCATATAGTTGCTTTTGACAATGCAAATTTAGAACATCAAGTTGATACAGAAGTCCTTCCTCCAAATGAAGATGACGATGTTATCGAACATGAAGGTCAAATTCAAGATCCTCAAGAAGTGGTGCAACAAGAACAAGTGCCTTTGCGGCGATCCACTAGAGAAAGAAGAAGCGCTATTCCAGATGATTACATAGTGTTTCTTATGGAACAAGACGAAAATCAAACCCAGTTGGAAGATGATCCTATCAACTTCCATGAGGCAATGGGCAGTTCCAAATCAGATAAGTGGGTTAAAGCTTCTGAACAAGAGTATCAGTCAATGCTAGACAATAAAGTTTGGGACCTCGTCGAGTTACCAGAAGGAAAGAAACCAATTGGTTGCAAATGGATATTTAAAACCAAATTGGAATCAAGTGGTAATGTCGAGAGGTATAAGGCTCATCTACTTGCTAAAGGATATACTCAGAAAGAAGGGTTGACTATAAAGTTTTCTCCAGTTTCATCAAAGGATTCTTTTAGGACAATCATGGCTCTTGTTGCACATTATGATTTAGAGCTTCATGAGATGGATGTCAAGACAGCGTTTCTCAATTGAAACATTGATGAGACGATTTATATGGAGCAACCAGAAAACTTTGTAATAGGTGATTCAAAGAAAATGGTCTGCAAACTAAATGGTCTGCAAACTAAAGAAATCCATCTATGGGCTAAAACAGGCTTCTCGTCAATGGTACCATAAATTTCATGAGGTAATAACCTCCTTTGGTTTTGAGGTGAATTTGGTTGAAGATTGTGTGTATCAGAAGTTCAGTGGGAGTGAGTGTATTTTCTTGGTATTGTATGTTGATGACATACTTTTGGCCACCAACGATATAGGCATGTTGCTTGAGACCAAGAGATTTCTTAAAGAAAATTTTGCGATGAAAGATCTTGGTGAAGCATCTTTTGTATTAGGGATCCAAATTCATCGAGATACATCTCAAGGTATTCTTGGATCGTGACAAAAGAGCTATATCGATAAAGTGCTCAAGAGATTTGGCATGCAGAATTGCAAACCAAGTGATACCCCAGTCGCTAATGGAGATAAATTCTCTCTCAGTCAGTGCCTTAAAGGAAATTTGGAAATTCAGGAAATGCAAAAGATTCCTTATGCATCTGCAGTAGGAAGTCTGATGTATGCTTAGGTTTGTACGCGTCCGGATTTACCGTACATTGTTGGAGTTTTGGGCAGATACTTAAGTAATCCAGGTTTGGACCATTGGAAAGCAGCCAAAAGGATCATGAGGTACCTACAAAGAACAAAGGACTTTATGCTCAAATATCAGAGATCATATAATTTGGAGATCATTGGGTATTCTGATTCTGATTTTGCTGGATGTCAAGATAGTAAAAATTCCACTTCAGGCTATGTGTTTCTATTGGCTGGTGGAGCTATTGCATGGCGTAGTGAAAAACAATCACTCGTACCTTCCTCTATAATGGCAGCAGAATTTGTAGCAGTTTTTGAGGCATCCAATCAGGGAGTTTGGCTAAAGAATTTTGTCACAAGGCTGCAAATTCTTCAAGGAATTGAACGACCACTAAAGATATATTGTGACAACAAATCAGCGGTTTGTACTCCAACAAAAATAGGAGTGCAACAAAGTACAAGTTTATTGAAATTAAGTTCCTGGTTGTTCAGGAGAGAGTACAAAGTGGAGAGATTTCCATAGAACACTTAGGGACAAACTCCATGATAGCTGATCCTCTTACAAAAGGTATTACACTGAAGGTCCTTCATGAGCATACTGCTCGAATGGGTGTTTTAGTGTTTGATGGTCATTTGGTTTAGTGGGAGTTTGTCATTTGTTTTTGGGTTCTATGTTTTGATTGTGTTTAAGCACATTTTATTCTGATCAGAAATAAAGTTTTCAGTTTACACTTTGTGCAATAAAGTTAAAGGATCTCAATAAAGTAGGACCAGTTGAAAATCGACATGTATTGATCACTTTTCATGTGATTTTTATGCTTCACTTTTCATAATTGATCTCTGTCATTTGACTATATTGATTTCAGTGACCATGGAAGGTTTAGTTATGATTGCTATAACGAAGGCCGCCATGATCCTATGTTGCTATAGTTAATGGACGTGATTGTTTATGTCCTGATGTACAATGACAATTTTGAGCTCATAAAGTCTATCACATTTTCAGATACACATGTGACCCAGTGGGAGATTGTAAAAATTATTTGGGGTCACACATGTATAATCAATGTGTTATAATCATTATTTAGAAGTAGTCAAAACTTATGTGGTCACTTTGGTATTAAAGAAAAGACTAATGGGGCATAAGTGTTATGAAAAATTAATGTGAGGATACATTTAGTAATTTCTAATTTGATGACGGGCCGAATTAGAAATTATTCTCTATATAAATAGAGAGGTTATGGTCCCCGCAGCAACCCATAACGAGAAATACAGAAAACTCTCTGCTTCCCATCAACAGAGACCTACAGCCATTAAAGATTTGTTGTGGAAGAACCAAATTCAGAGCATAATCATGGATCCAAAAGGTATGCTTCCGCTTCTGTTCTTATTATTCAGAGATTGACATGCTATGGTGATTTATAAGGATATAAAACCTATCAGATTTCTAGCTGGTTCAAGGATGATCTAATCCAGCCCAACCTCTCTCTCATCAATTCCCTTAATATTGATGGTATCTTTGAAGATTTAGGTTTCTCACGGAGGAAGAAAAGCCAAATGGCTTTCAAATCAGGGAAATGTTTGGAAAAGGAAACCCCTTTCAACGTCAGATCTACAATTCTGGAGCAGATTTATCTCCTTCTGAAATCAGATCTGCGACCATTACATCTAATAATTCAATTAGGATGAGAAAAATCCCGGCAAAGATAATCCAAAATTTATACTCAGTACGTGATCATCTCTCCACAATCATAATCCGTAATCATGAGATTTGCAAGGCATTTATGAAGGAGATCGAAGGTGGGAAGGAGCCCCCATACCCTGTAGCTATAAATTGGCCACTAATCTTCTTCTCTCCTCACCGATATCACCAAATCAATCTCCTGTTATAGTCCTGCCAAAAACTGTTTCACCCTGCAAATATCAGCACCAATCTCACCATGTCGAGAAAATCTGACCTTATCTCAGCCAAAGGAAAATCCTCTCTGCAACTCGACCCAATTGTGATCCCAGCCTTTGACAACTCAGACCTGTTGGCATCCTACAAGCTCACTCTGGTGGGTCGTGTTCTCAACAGCGAAATGCAGGCTCACCGTGTGAGGGCACTAATTGCTCTGATGCCTCAAGCATGGAATCTGGAAGGACGAGTCCAAGGAGTAGATTTGGAAAGAGGCAGATTCCATTTCCGATTCCAATCAGAAGAGGAGCTCCAATCCGTACTGGAGAAGAGGCCTTTCTTCTTCGATCAGTGGATGTTTCCACTTGAGTGATGGGTTCCCAGCGTAAGAGCGGACTTCCCGTCGACGATGCTGTTTTGGATACGTATCGATGGCATTCCTCCCCACTACCAAAAGGAGGAGACTGTCAAAGGTATCGGTGAAAAACTTGGAGATTTGATTGAATGGGAGACCACCTCCGCCAGAGTTCGTGTATCAGTGGAATGTGAAATCCCACTGAAATTTGAAAGGCGTGTAATTTTCTACACAGGGGATGAGGTGATTGTTACATTCAGATATAAAAAGCTTCAAAAATTCTGCTTCATATGTCAGAGACTTTCTCACGACGGTCGTCATTCCCCCGACTTGGAAGAAGAAAAGCGTGCGTTTAAGGCAAAACACGGGAACAAGGATAGGAACCAGAGGCAACATGCTATCTTGAGAGGAGAAGAAGGCCCATACATGAAACATGGAAAAACTGATATGGTCAAGGAAAACAAAAGCCCTCTGTCCGTCGTGAAATCTTTGCTGAAAAGGAGGACAACCACGTAGAAATGAAGAAAAGACGCAAGGTAAACAAAGTCGGGAATCTACCAAAAGCTGGGTTGAAAGATACTTTGGAAGAAAATCAACAAAATCTGGTCAATCTCAGAACAACAAACTCTCTGGTCGTAGTGGATCTGAGATTGTGATCGCAGATGATGATAAGCCAAAAGCAGTGGGTGCACCATCCAAAGGTTCAGATCGTAAAGAGACCTTCATATATGGAAAAAACAAGCCCTTCAAACCTACTTCATGGTATCGTGATCCAAATCCTGGAAAAGGTTAAATCTGACTCAGACCCTGGAAAAGTTTGTTACCAGAGATCCCCATCACCGAGTGCGATCAAGCGCTCCCAAAGGAAAGAAGATAAAGGTCGAGCTCTCCAGCCTCCCGTGAGCACAGGCAGCCGAGTGATGGACTCAAACTCCTGTGATCTAGAAGAGGTAATCTCCCCCATGAAAGAGATGATGGCATCAAAAATTCCAATTATGTCAGAATCTCTTGATGAACTTGGTGGAAGAAGAGGCAGATCCATTAAAAGCCGTCTTGGTTCACGCTCAAATGTGACCCTCCAAGTCAAGAAGAAAATCACAAGGAGTTCCACGATGGGGCTGCTGTCCAAGAAACGAAGCGCACCTTCTCTCGGAGAACCCTCTAAGAAAAGAGTGAATGCAGATTTGATCATCTCTCAGTGTATTCAAAATCCGTCGTCCTCAAAGCCGGAATCCTCTCAGGGGAAAAATTTGGAGGAACCCAAAGAGCTGGTGGTTAAGGAGAAACCACCGGCTAAGCCATAATGATCCTAAGCTGGAATTGCCAAGGAGCTGGTAGTTACTTGGAAATTCGGCACCTGCGGGAAATCCGTCAAAAGATTTTTCCAGGTATTATGTTTCTTATGGAGACCAACAATGAACGTGCCTTCCTCCAAGACCTGCAGTATCATCTTGGTTATGATTTTCTTTTTACTGTTGATCCTATCAGCCATAGTGGTGGTCTTGCTTTGTTTGCGTTATCTGAGTTTAATGTTCAAGTTTAATTTTCCTATAATAGAGTCATCGATGTATCAGCTACGATTGGTGACAATAAAGTTTTTATCTCTTTTGTTTACGGTGATCCTGTCGTCAACCGTAGAAACGTAGTATGGGAACGCTTATCTTGTTTTAGCACTTCTCGTTATGATGCATGGTTAATGACTGGTGATTTTAACGAGATTAATGGAAACTATGAAAAATTGGATGGCCGTATCCGTAGTGAAAACTCTTTCCTTGACTTTTGTCTCATGCAACAAAATTGTGGCATGATTGATCTTCCTTTCACAGGAGATTACCTATCATGGGTGGGACGAAGGAAAAAACATCTCATTCGTTGCCGACTGGATTGAGCGATGGGAAATGAGGATTGGTTCAATTTATTCTCGAGATCTTCTTCGAAGTATCTGAAATTCATGGGATCAGATCACCATCCGGTCCTCACATACATCTCTTCATGAAAAACCAAAGGAAAAAAAAACTTTTGTTTTGATAAAAGATGGATTTCTAAACCAGGCATTGAAGAGATCATTCGAGAGGGATGGATGTCAAATGAAGAGGGAAGAAACGTATCTCTCCATGAACGAATTACTAAGTGTCGATCCTCTACATCACGCTGGCGTAGAGAAGATCAACAAAACTCTGCTAAAACCATAAAAGACCTTCAGTCTAAATTAGACAAAGGTCAATCCGATGAGAATTTATCAACAGAGGATGTCTCATTAATTCAAAACCAACTTATAAAAGCTTATGAGGAAGAAGAGATTTTTTGGCAACAAAAAAGCCGGAACCCCTGGTTGAAAGATGGATATACGAACACAAAATTCTTCCATGCCTCAACTAAGCAAAGAAGAGCATGAAATCACATCATTGGACTCAATGATTCTGGAGGTGTTTGGACACAAAATGAGCAAAAAATCAAAACCATTGCGGTAGACTACTTCTGCAAGATGTTCCAATCTTCATCGACTTCAGATATTGAAGTCTCTCTTAACAATCTACCAAATCGCATCTCCCCTGAGATGAATGAGAGATTGTGTAAGGAATTCACCCCCCTTGAGATAAAAAATGCTTTATTCTCAATACATCCTGAGTCCTGATGGTATGACAGCTTTGTTTTACCATAAGTATTGGTCGACTACTGGACCTCATGTAATCAAGATGGTACAAGAATTCTTTATCTCAGGGACCTTTGAGGCCAAATTAAACGAGATAAATATCTGTCTTGTACCAAAAACAGAACGTCCTAGAGATATGGCCAACTTTCGCCCTATTAGCCTATGCAATGTCAGCTACAAAATTATTTCCAAGGTACTCTACCAAAGGCTAAAAGCTATCCTCCCAAAAATTGTACCGGAGACACAATCTGCATTTGTTGCAGGGAGATTAATCTCAGATAATATCTTGTTAGCTCAAGATGCTTTCCACGCTCTGAACACTCATCCAAGAAGCAAGAACGAGTTTTTAACCATTAAGACGGACATGAGTAAAGCATATGACAGAGTAGAATGGAACTTTTTGGAAGCTCTGCTGACTAAAATGGGATTTAATAATAAATGGGTATCATGGATAATGAGGTGTGTGCGGTCAGTCTCCTATAGTATACTCGTAAATGGAAGTCCTACGGGCATATTACTCTATCTAGAGGACTACGACAAGGAGACCCTTTATCGCCATACCTATTCATTCTATGAATGGAAGTTCTAATTGCTAATATTCAGGCGGCAGAGTTAGCAGGCCATATCTCTGGCTTGAAAGTTGCTCTGGCAAGTCCTGCGATATCTCACCTGCTATTTCCAGACGATAGCCTTTTCTTCTGTAAAGCTGACCCTACAGAATGCAACTCATTCCTAGATATCCTCAGAATCTATGGCAATGCATCTGGCCAAAGAATAAATTTTGAAAAGTCAGCCATCACTTTTGGGAAAAAAGTCTCGCCTGAAAGTAGGGAACTTTTGAAAAACATTTTGAGCATCAGGACAAAGGGAGGTTCAGGAAAATACCTGGGTCTCCCAGGGCAGCTCCAAGGATCAAAGACCCAAGTCTTTGCTTATATTCGGGACCGTCTCCACCAAAGAATTAACGGATGGACTGCAAAACTCCTCTCAAGAGCCGGGAAGGAAATTATGATCAAGTCCGTAGGTTTAGCTATCCCGACATTTGCAATGTCATGCTACCTATTTCCAAAAGAGCTATGTAAAAAGATAACCAGTGCAATTTCTAATTTTTGGTGGAGCTCAGCCTCTAATTCCAAAGAAATGCACTGAATCGCATGGAACAAACTGCTTGCCAAAAGTAGATGGAGGTTTAGGATTTCGATCCTTTGAAGAGTTTAATCGCGCCCTACTGGCAAAACAATTGTGGCGCCTTGACCAACACCTAAACTCTCTAGTGGCCTGAGTTCTAAAAGGCAGATACTTTAAGAACTCACACCCTTTCAAAGCTCCCAAAGCCTCTAGGCCTTCATATGGCTGGAGAAGTATGTGTACGACCAAAAACCTAGTTCTGAAGGGTGCATGTCGTACTATTGGTACCGGAACCCAAACCTTAGTTTGGGATGATCCGTGGTTACCTGACACATTAGCTCGGCCACCGAAAAATTTTCCAGGAATGAATGACCCTCACTTACTAGTCTCGGACCTCATTAACCCAGACACAAAAACATGGGATATTCATCTCATTCGGGATATCATAGACCCTCGAGATATACCATTGATACTCAGTATCCACATTAGTCACACGCCTAAAGAAGATGGATACTGCTGGAATCTCTCAAAAACGGGAGCATACTCTGTAAGATCGGGTTACACATTAGCACGTTCGGAGCTAGACGAAGAAACATCTTTCTTCTGCCAACAACCTTCCCTAAACCCCCTTAAGGAGAAAATCTGGAAGCATAAAGCACCAAAGAAGTTGTGTCATTTCCTATGGCAAATGCTATCAGGTGCGGTGGCGGTGAACGAACACCTAACCATAAGACATCTAGGAAATGATCCTAGTTGCCCTAGATGTGGAGAGGTGGAAGAAACAATTAACCATACTATATTCCTATGTCCACTAGCTCTTCAGTGTTGGGCCCTTTCATCGATTCCCTCAGCGACAGAGGTGTTTCCGTCACAAAATCTGTTCGAGAATGTGGATTACCTATTATCCAGAATTCCCAATCGGGAGAGCATAATAGAGTCCATTATAGTTTTCCCTTGGATTGTCTGCTACATTTGGAAAGCCCGCAATGACAAGTTGTACAATGGACAGGACCGACTTCCATCAGAAACACTTGATCTCGCTCTTCGAGAAAGCGAAGCATGGTTTTCAGCTAACCGAGTTACATATCATGTTGATACTCCAATGGAAGATATTGACCATGTAATTATTGATCCACCGGTTTTCATATGTAAAATAGATGGATCTTGGAAAAGAGATAGTCTCACAAACGGGGTGGGTTGGATTCTACAGCTTCAAGATGGCTCCATAGACCTCCTAGGTCTTCAAGGGACTCGTCGAGGCATTTCTCCTCTCCACATGGAGCTCCTCAGCTTGATTTGGGCATTCAAATGTCTAAATAGACACAATAGGTATTGTAACTATTTTGCTACTGATTCCAAGGAATTAGTACAAATGATTACTAACCCAAAAGAATGGCCCGCATATGCAATGGAGCTGCGCGAACTCGAGGATCTGGGTGGTTTCGCCCATGATGTCAACATTGTTTTTGAGCCGAGAACCAGAAATCAACAAGCGGACTTCCTTGCTAGAAGCGCTCGCACCCAGAATCGTATTTTCTCTTATGTGAGCACATCGGTGCCTCTCTGGTTAGATGTTGAAAATTCGCCATTAGCGGATTCGTACTAAATATAGTATTTTCTTGTGACAAAAAAAAATAATGTAAATGACTAATTGAGAATAATTTAATGGCATGATACTCATAAATTAGATAATGGTGATTATTGATTGAGATATTGTGTATGTTATCTTTATTTA